CAGTGGGACTTGTGGTGTGTGGCGTGTGTGAGACAGAGAGCATGGGAGGGGAGTGTGTGGCGAATGGGGTGTGAGGCGTACTGCGTGTGGCAGGTGTGCTATGGGTACCTGTGGAGGTGCTCCCTGTGCTAGTGGGGTAGGAGCTGATGGTGGTTTCAAGGGGAGATGTGGATTGTGGGTGGTGTGTGGAGGAGGGTTCTGTGAATAGGACCGACGATGTCCTGGCTGTGCTGAGTGATACGTGAGGTTTGGATATGGTCCTGGAAGTTGTGGTTAGCGGTGCGTTGGTGGGTTTTACCCCAGTAACCATGGTGGTTGGCTGGGTTGTACCAGTTGGTCGCTTGGTGGACGGGGAAGAGACTACATGTGGACTGGTGGTAGCACTCTGAGAGGTGGGTGTCATGGAGGAGCTGCTGACTGAGGGAGACTCAGTGGGAAGTGGGGTTTCGGGCCTGGGTGTCGTTGGAGAGTGGCTGTTGGTCTTGAGGGGTGTTCCTGAGGCAGTGGGCCTTGTGTGTGGCGTTTGGGAGAGGGACTGCTTGGGCGTGGAGTGACTGGGTGCATGGGTGTGCAGCGTTCTGGATGTGACTTCCATGGCTTGTGTTGTTGATGCTGTTGAGTGGCCACTGGTCTGGGTGGCTGTCTCTGTGTCCAGTGTAGTTTCTCCCGAGATTGCTTGTCCTGTTGTCTGTGTTTGTGGAGCTGGCAGAGTGTGTGCTGTTTCCTGGTGGGCACTTGTTTCTGTGGGATCATGAGAGCTGTTTTCACCCAATGCTGCATCACACAGACCCTGTCCTCCTCAGTGTCCCTTCCCTCCTTTGTGCTCCTTTTCCCTGTTGCTCAGGAGTGAACTCTACCCTTCCACTGCTTCCCCCTCTCCCGTCCCCTTACCACTCTGAGGGAGCCTGGTTTCCCCCAGCCATCCGTAATTGCTGCTCTGCTGAACCTCAGCGGCCACCTCCTCTCCCAGGGCTGGCGTGTGGGTGGTGCGAGGCTGCCTGTGTACGCCCCCCCATGCTCCTACGCCTATACTTCACACTGTCCTGTGGACAGTCCTGTGCTTACTCCTGACCCTGTCATGCTGGGCTGTGGTGTTAGTATACACGTGGCCTGGGAATCCTAGTGTCCCATGGGCTGTGGCTCACCTCGTCCATGGGTTGTCACCCATGTCACAGTCCATGGTGCCACTGTCGTCCGAGCAGTCACCTGAGCTGTGGATGTGGTGGCTGGGCTGGAGGAGGACTCTGTGGGCTCTGTTGTTGCTGTGGTAACTGTGTGTCCTGTGGCTGTTGATGTCACTGTGACTGTAGGCAGTGGAGGTGCTGTGGCAGGTGTGGTGACAGCTGTGGTTCTTGGAGGGGATTCTACAGGGAACAAACCCTCTCTCTGTTCCCCAGCTTGTTTCTAAGGTCCCAGCTCCTGCCTGCCTCAGCCTCCTGGAGGAGCACCAGCCTCTTGCCTTCACTGTTCTGACCCTATGACTTCCATGCTCTGTGTGGCAGTAGTGGCCTGCTGGCAGGGACAGTGAACACAGGGTCCTATGGGCCAGCTGGGTGGGCAAATGTCCTGCCCCTTTGGTCCCTGCGAACCAGAGCATGTGCCAGTATGCGGTGGGGCGACCTGGTCTGTCCCTCACATGTTCTAGTGACAGAATCAGGCAGCACGGAAATGGCCACATCAGTGGCCAGCTTGGGGTGTAAACAAGTTTTTCAGAAAAATCTCCACTTGGCTGTGCAGCTCAGCAACCTGTGTTGCTATCCTCCCCAAGGTCTCACCTGGGCACCAGCAGAATCCACCCTATGCCCTGTGTTACCTCCTGAGGACTCAGTGGTGGCCAAGGCCGAGGCCGTCCATCTCTCCGTGGAGACTGTGGCTGGGTGGCCTGGTGTCTGGGTGCCTGTGGGTGTGGGAGGGGGGCTGGGCCAGCTGGTGCTGTTGGCCACTGTGGTGGGCGGGACTCCTGTGGGCAGTGATCCTGTGTGGGGCAGTCATGTCCTCAGGACGGGCATGGCCTGGTCCTGGCACCCCAGAGACAAGTGCCCCTGTCCTGGGCCCACTGTAGTCTCACTGCACTGCAGACCTGAGGGGCTCGGCGGGAAGACAAGGGACTGGGCGGCTCTCCGAGCTTTTAGGGGACCCGCCCGTGGAGTTCTGCTGCCCTTCTCCTCTGAACTAGATGGCACCTCCCCTCTGGACTGGGGATACTGAGTCTGGGCCAGTGTGAGGGTGTAGCTGGGGGGTGGTCACCTGTGGTGGGTAGCAGTGGCGGTGATGTCGGGGGCGGGGCTGCAAGAGGAGAGGTGGTCATGAGTGGCCCCTTCCCATCCCTTCCTGCCCCCTCTTGCACTCCATCACTAGCCCTGGCAAGGAGGGGCAGGGTCACCAGGGTGCTGTGCAGGTTGGACTGGGCCCACGCAGGTTCTTGCTGTGCCTGCACCCTGGCTGGCTGGGCCCCTCCTTGTGGCGGTCAGGGGCCAGGGTGGAGAGATGGGCTGAGTGACCTGTGCTGCTTTCTCTGCAGTAGCAGCAGACAGGGCACGGGCAGCAGATGCTGGGCAGGACAGCGGCTTGGGCAGGCCTGGGGCACTGGGCGTCTTCTGCCTACAGGAGGGCCTGGCCCAGGCTGCCTGGGGCTGACTCACCGCAAGGCACGCAGGTCCCCTGGCTCTGGTCAAAGTACTCGTCCTGGGAGCAGTTGTAACAGCCTAAGGCAAAGAGTGCCAGCTCACGGCCCCACCTGAACGTCGTCCCCTCTGCTCAGACCACACGTGAGACTGGACGGACGTGTGGGCGGAGGGGTGCCTATGTGGCTCTAAAATGAGTGTGCAGCTGCACGGTGTGCGTGGAGTGCAGGGGCGAGTCCCCATGCCATACCTTCGATGTTGGTACCCTCAAAGTCCTGCAGGCTGCCGGGGCAGAGGCAGGGCCGGTAGTGCCACAGGCAGTCGTCCTGTGTGGGCTGGTCCTGGCTGCCAGCGTGCGGGTGGGTGTTGTAGAAGTCACAGTAGATGGCTGGGGGGGGGTACCCAACAGTCAGGGTGCGCTGCAGGGCACGGCCTGGCACCACCTGGGCGAGGGCTCCCAAGTGGCTCAGGAACACAGGTGAGGGCTGGTGGGCAGGGCACTCACGGCAGAAGTCTGGGGCCCTCCAGTCCACGCACACGCCCTTGTCCAGGCAGGCCATGGCGTAGGCAGCCACTGCGTCGCACAGACACTCACAGTCTCCGCCCGTGTCGCACCCACACGTGTCGCGCACGCAGGCCTCGTAGTAGGGCAGGTGGTACACCTGTGGGTGGGACTGTCCTTGGCCACTGCCACCCTCCAGAGCTAAGCTGCCACAGAGGCTTCTGACCCTTGTACAGGGCTGAGTGGCTCATGAGAGCTGCGTGTCCTCTGGCCTGCATGACCACCCTCAGCAGCTCCTCTCCTTACTCCCCGTATCCCTGTGCTTGTGAGCTCAGAGCCTGTATCCGTGCCAGGCTGGTTCCTGCCCCAGGGCCTTTACATTGCCTCCCTGCCAGAGAAGTACCTTCCTGTTAGTCCTTACAGAGCCCCAGGAATCTGGGGCTTCCCTACAAGCTCCCAGTCCAGGGAAGAGGGCAGTTTCTCACCTGAGTGTCTCGTTCCCCAGCCATGCACCCCGGAGCAGGACTTGTGCCCGGGTGCTGGCAGAGTCGGGGGATGCTGCGGACTTCTTGGGATGAGGTCAGACTGGAGGAGGGGCATCTCTGCTGCAGCCCAGGTCCCTGGGAGAGGCCTGGGCCAGCTCGGCACCCACCTTGCTGTGGCAGGCGGCGAAGGTCTGGCCGTTGATGATGCTGCACTTGCGCTCAGCCCAGGAGCGGCGGAAGGCGTTGAGGCTGCAGGGCTCGACTGCGGCGCGTGTGTCCCCGCATAGTGGGCTCTCCTTCCAGGAGTTCACGAACTCCAGTTCACTGGATGCCACGTACCTGCTGCGCGTCTCGAAGTCGTCCTTCATGTTCCCGTTGGCGTTGCCGCACAAGCCACAGAGAGTGTCCTGCAGGAGCGTCGGGCAGGGAGCAGGGGGCTTGGAACCAAAACCCTGCCTGGAGGCCCGGTGGGCTGGGCGTGTGGGCACACAGCGGTACCTGGGAGGAGCGGTGGACCTTGATGGAGACGCTCATGTGCTTGTTCCAGACGAGTGTCAGATTGAGCCTGCCGGGGATGTCTGCATCCAGTACCAGGCTCAGGGCGCTGGGCTGCACCTGGAAGTGCACGCCGGGGTCCTCGCCACGCACTACGTAGCTGCCGTCCGCCATCGTGATGGACAGGCCCTGCAGGGTGGGGTTGTCATGGGCTGCCTGCCCTCACCCCCCAAGCCGTACCCTGCACCGAGTCCAGCACAGACACAAGCAGGCCCCAGCAGGTCGCTGGGGATGCAACCAGCAGGGCTTCCCGGACAACACTCCGCTGCCCGAGACCTGGTGCAGGTCACAGGACTGCACAGCACCTGGCTGTGAACAGCCTCTGCCAGGGAGGGCTGTGGGGTAACACCCTCGGCTCCCTGTCCGGGGCAGGCAAGGGCGACACAGAAAGGTGGAACTGGGGGCCTCGGGGTTTCTGGCTGGGTAATGCCCCCCCAGGCCCAGATGCTCACGCCCAGGACAGTCTCGATGGCACGGGAGCAGGTGACCCCCGACTTCCCGCAGATCACATTTTCCGTCAGGACCTTGAAGGTGGGCTGTGAACTGTTGGTGCCACAGTCGTCCTGCAGGAAGGCAGTGCTGAGCAGGAGCCGCGCCCTGCCCCGCAGCCCCCACCGCCCAGCAGGCCAGTACCGTGGCCAGGGTGTACTCGCAGTTGCCATCAAACACGAAGCGCTGCCCGTCAAAGGTGACCACATGGCCCTCCCCGTAGAGCACACAGGTGGATGGGCAGTGGGTGCTCTGCTGGCAGGCCCAGCGCCCCTGCGAGCAGGTGCTGGAGAGAGCAGGCAGTAGGTGGCCCATCGCCATGTTCTGGGGTTCCCAAGGACCGTCGAACCCCCAGCACCCCACATCCATGCATCCCACCTGACAGCCCCACCTCTGGTCACCCCCACCTCCCACCACCGCACCTCCAGACACTGCCAACTCCACACACCCCACCTTTGGGTGCCCCTGGTCGGCAGGTGAGGGTAGCTTACCAGGTCTTACAGTCAGTGTGGAGCTCTGCACCCCCGGGGTAGGAGACCCCCGCGAAGTCACAGGGACACTGCTCCGGGGGCACACACTCCCCACTGGGGTTCTCGTAGAGCCCCTTTGGACAGGCGCAGCCAGCCTCGCACTTGGTGGGCACCTGGGGGGAGGTGGGGTCAGCGGCCTCTGCCCTCCACAGCCCAGCCCAGCACTCTGCTGTTCCCCAGGCTCCCGCCCGCACCCGCCCTGCCTGCTCTGGGGTCCCTGTCCCCATTAGACTGGGCGCCCGCACCCCAAGCTGGGGCTCCTCACGCAACCCCACAGGCGCCACACTGATCTCCAGCGGCCTGGCCGGGAGCGGCTCCTGATCTCCGGATGCCTGCCCTGGCGGCCCCAGGAACACAGGGTGGCCACTGGCGGCGCCTCCCCGCCCCTTACACAGGCGGTGCCCGTGGCCAGCATCTGACAGGTGGGCGCGCACGCGGCCCCGAACTTGTCCTCCGCGGACTGGTCGCAGGACTGGAACGTCTTGGGGGCCGGGCAGGAAGCTGCGAGGGGTGGGGACAAGGGGGCGCATCAGGTGGGCTGGGGGACAGCAAGGCACCTCAGGGTCAGGGCTGGCCTTGGGGGCAGTACATACCCAGGAACATCTGTGGCTGCCCAGAGCAGCTAAGCCGCCCGTTGACACAGTAGCTGAGAGAGAGGAGCTGTGAGTGCGGACACAGGACCCTGGTCCCGCCCTGCCCCGGCCGCGCCCCACAGCGACCACTTCCCACCATGGCCACGCCCCCACCACGGCCGCCCCAGCAGTACCAACTCCTCCCGCCCCGGCCCCGCCCAAGGCTCTGGCCCACCACCCTCAGCCCCAGCGCACACCAGATGACTCCGTTAATCATGGTAGACTGGTCCGCTGGGAGGAACTTGGAGCTCTCCAGCAAGCAAGGGCACTGGGCCTTGCGCACGCACTCGCCCTTGTGGTCCAGGTAGGTGCCCTCAGGGCAGTTGCAGCCGTCCACGGGCATGGTGCTGGCATGGCACTCAGCCTCAGGGTCAGAGAGTGAGAGGCATGTGCGGCCGCAGGCCCGACTGTCATAGCTGAACGTGCGGTTGCCGGTGCAGGGGACGGCTGTAAGGGACTGGAGTCAGGCTCTGGATGGGGACCTGGGCTGAGACCGCCGTGGCCCACGACCCTGGCAGCCGGCACTCACTGCAGTTGTCCACGCTGCTCCTCCAGTCCTGGAGCGGCATGCCCCGGGAGGCGCAAGCCTGCGCATAGGTGCCCAGGGCTGCACAGATGTGGGGAAAGGTCTCCTCGTAGTTGCAGGCCTGGTACACGCACCTCTGCGGGCGAGGGGGCCGGGCATGGCTTGGGCAACGCCCCTGAGGACACACCCTCCTGCCCCGGGGTGGGGTCCCAGCTGCCTGGGTTGTGTGCTCAGGCTGCCAGGCCCCCAGTCTCACCTTGTAGAAGGGTGTGGGGTTCACGGTGGCGTGGCACTTCTCAAACGCACCGCCCTTCCTCACCAGCTCTGAGCAGTGGGTCTCTGCGCACACCTCTAGGGGACAGGGCGTGTGGGTCTCCTCTCGCCTTCCGACTGGACTGCCCTGGGCCCAGGGTGATGGCGGTGGGGCACTCACTGTTGAGCTGGCTCATGGAGCAAGGGTCGGTCTCACGCTCTAGGGCAGCTGGGCAGTTCCCTGCCCGCCAGGAGTCCACGAAGAGAGTGGCGGTGCCCTCGTCAATGCCCATGCTGGTCATGAAGTCATCAGTGGTGTCTCCGTTGAAGTTGCCACAGAGCCCTGGGCCAGCCATGCATGAGGGTGACTGAGCCCTGCCCTGGCCTCCTGTGTCCCCTCCCCATAGCTCCTCTCCCCAGCTGTCCCTGGCAAGGGGCTATCACTGGCCTCACATGGCCTTTCCTGGGACGCTGGGGCTGTCAGCTCCCTGGATGTGGAGGCCAAGGTGAGGCTTGCTTGTCCCCTACCCCACCCCTACCCAACTGCTGACCACAGCAGGGATAGGGTGACGGGATCACCCAGGGGGTGACTTGGGGCAAAACTCACCTCTGGTTTGGCCTTGGAACTGGGGCCCAACAGTGATGTACACCTGGAAGACGGGGCGCAGCTGGACTACGAGCTCCAGCCCGAAGGTGGTGGCCATCTGGAGGTGGGTGGACGTCTGCCTGAAGATGGTGATGTTGCCTGCGAGGACATGGTGCTTAATGGCTGCCCAGCCTGGCCTCACCCAGGGGTGCTGCTGGTGTGAACACCTACGTGTCTTGTACGGCAGCCACTTGGTGTCTCCTTGGTTGGTGATCACCTCATCCTCCGAGATCACGATTTTGTCCTGGAGGGAGGGTGGCCCAGGTCAGGGGAAGAGCAGGACGGGTGCAGGCAAGCAGGAGCACAGTGGGGCCTCAGGCGGGCAGGAGGCCTTACCTTCCGGGACAGGTAGATGATAGCAGTCAGGGAGGTCTCCGAGTGTGAGTAGCCTGACTTGTCGTACACCGCCATGAGAGTCCCCTCATCGGGGAGCTGTGGGCTCTGTGGAGGGGGCTCAGACATGGAGGGGTGCCCACCCATCCCCAAGCATGTCCTACCTGGGAGGCTCAGATGTGCAGGGCTGCCCACCCAGCCCCAAGCCTACCATACCTGGAGGAGGATGTAGGTGCAGGTGCCGTGGAAGCGGTAGGGCCTGGTGTCAAACGTGGTGACGAAGGAGCCACCTTCCAGGGAGCAGGTCCCGGGGCACGGCTTCTCCGTACACGTCCAGCTGCCTGTGGTGCACTGGCTGTGGGTGGGCACAGGGTGACGCAGTGCAGCGGGGCCCCAGAGCCTGTGCCCTCCCCTGCCAGTGCCCAGTGCTCACCAGGTCCGGCAGGCAGCTGCTGTGACCTCACCGGGGCTGTAGACCACCCCATTGAGCATGCAGGGGCACTGGCTGAGCGGCACACACGTGTGGTTTGTGGAGAGGTCGTCCAGTACCATGCCTGCAGGAGAGGGTGTCCTGGGCCTGGCCAGATCCACCTCCCCTGCTGGGCTGTCCCCACCCCCACAGCTGTCCCAGGTGCCTGCAGGGCTCCTACTCCCCCAACCCTTGCCAGCTCCAGCCCTGTGGACCTCCAGTCTTCCACCGCATGGCACCTGGGTGTGTGCCACCCCTCACCAAGGTGGTGCAGCCCCACAGGTTCAGGGACACAAGCTTCCCTCAGGCCAGCTATGAGCTGCCTCGCCCAGCTGTGCTCAGACCCCTGTGGGCACTGCTCCTCCATGGGTTTGTAAAGGTGCCTTGGGATCCCGGGTAGTTGGAGTTGTGTGGTTTTGGGGTGGCTGAGGGCCTTCAGGCAGGGCCTCAGTGGGGTGCTATGCTGGGCAGGGGCAGGGTGAGGGGGTGGTGATTCCCGGCCCTGGGGTTGGTTTGGGGTTCCCAAGAAAAGAGAGTTTGCATCAGGGTTAGGGTTGGATTAGGGTAAGGGTCAGCATCAGCATCAGCATCAGGGTAGTTAGAGAAGGGGTAGAATCAGGGTTAAGCTTTAGGCCCAGGGTTAATGGCAAGGTTGGGGTTAGGGGTTAGAGTCAGGGTTAGGTCAGTGTCACAGGGTCAGGATGATGGTCAGAGTGAGGGGCAATGCTGGGGTTAGGGGTCAGGGTCAGGGAGGGTGCTGGCATTGCCTCACCCTCTGGACAGAAGCAACCAAAGGTGCAGGAGCTGGGGCAGCTGTGCCGAGGGTTGGAACAGGTCCGGGTGCAGGCTGCGCCACACTCCTGGTACTCCTGGCTGGCGGGGCATGGGCCCAGTGCTGCACACAGTTCGGTGTGTTGAGAGCCTGCCCTCCATGTGCCCCGCACCCTAACCTGCCTCCCTGGGACTCACAGCAGAGGCCGGGACCCCGCCAGTGGCTCACGGGCTGGCCCGCCAGGCTGCAGCGGCGTGAAAACTCTGACAGCGTGGCACAGCTGCAGTTGGGCTGCCCAGGCAAGCTGCATGCCGCCATATCCGCCTGGCAGCTGTGCACCAGTGGCTCCTTGGGCACATCACACCCGGGGGACACCAGGGCGAGCAGTTGGGTGCAGGTCCCGGCCTGGGAGGGGAGCTCAGTCATGCCCAAGGCCACAGACACGGAGCTTGGGGGACCCAGTCAGCCCCAGGGTCAGCCCACTGTGGCTCCAATGCCTCACATACGTCCTTGGCATGCAGGGTGGGGGTGCTGGGGATGGGCTCATAGGCACAGATCTCATTGGGGTCATCGAGCTTCTGGAGTGCAGCGAACTTGTGGGGTTCCAGGAGTTTGCCTGGGGGTGGGGGATGGGGTTAGCACCACAAGGCTGGGTCTCTGCAGGCCTGGGCTTCCTGCCACCTCTGTCCACCTACCATCCTCGCTAATAAAGTCGTTGTCCATGTTCCCGTCGAAGTCCCCACACAGCCCGCACATCTGGCCCATGTACTTCCTCTCCACCAGGACCTGTGGTGGGTGATGGACACTGCTGGGGGGCGCTGCCCACTCCCGGCCAGGCGGCCCACCCGCCCTGCGCTGCCTCCAGGCTCTGAGTCTGCTGCGCCCTCGTTTTCGAATGGGGAAACCACCACACCCAGGGTGCTGCCAGTGAGGGCTCAGCAGGTGGGCCCCTGCTTGCGTGCCCCCCACGTCTGCCCTGCCCACTATCCTCACCAAGAGGTGGGGGTCTGGGCCCCACAGCACCACCAACTCCAGCTCTAGCTGCTTGGCCGCCAGCCGCACGCTCTGGCCATAGGGTGTGATCTGAAGCCCGTTGCTGGTGTAGGGCAGGCTGACTACCCTGTGGGTGAGAGTGGTCAGCAGCCATCCCCTGGGCCTCCGTGGCCTAAGGCCCGGCCCGGCTTCCTGACCTACCCCACATCCTTGACGGAGATGGTCCCATTGTCCACGGTGACGGCAGAGGCCCCCAGCTCCACGATGACCCGGGAGATGTTCCCGTCTGGCCCTCGCCGCAGCTGCACACTGAAGGCGGGCACTGCATCCTTGCAGATGGCTGCGAAGATGTAGTTGCAGGTCCCCGAGAAGTCATAGGCACGGTGGTCGAAGGTGGAGAAGTGGCTGGCGCCCCACGTGGAGCACCAGCCCTTGTCTGGGGCTGTGGAGACAGCGGCAGGGTTTCAGGCCCCACGTCTTGCCCAGCAGCCTGGGTGGGCTGGGCATCTGGGGCAAATGCCGGGCCTCTCTGCCCACAGCCCCCCACCCACCCCATCCCTTTCCGCGTCTTACAGGACTGTGGGCTGCCTTGGGCACTGGGGCCTGTGTCATTTCCAGCCGGGGAGTCTGTAAGACAGGATGCGGCCTCTCAGCCCCAGCTCACCCGGTGCTCAGTCAGTGACCATGGCTGGGGCCGGCTCTGGGTCTGCTACCACCTGACCTCCCAAGGACCCCACCGAGCCTGGGTGCTGCTGGGAATGCACGTGAGTGTGTGTAGCAGTACGTGTCACCTCGCCATGGAGTCCTTGGCTCCTGCAGGCCCAGGAGGGCAAAGGCAGTGTGTCCCGGCCTGCAGGGCGTGGTCCATGCTGGGATCCGTCCTCATCCCCTAGGCAGAGGTGGGTGCCTGGTGGTGTGCCTGCCCTCCCCTCTGTGTTCCCTCTCTCACTCTCTTCAGCCATTGGTTCAGTGTCGGTGCAGTCTCCTCTCTGTGCCTGTCACAGGATGCCTGGTGTGTACCCTTCCCAGGAGGGCACACGTGCATGTGTGCGCACTCACTCGCACACACAGGGACGTGTCCATGCACAGGCACTCACACAATGCACACACAGGTGTGCAAGGCACACACATGCACAAGCACAATAACGTATGCATACACAATACACACATGAATACATGCATCCACATGCTCACACACAACATACATGCCCAGGCACACACATCCGCATGTGCACATGCACAGGCACACATGCAACACCTCTACAATGCACTGATGCATGCATTGCACACTACAGAAGCACACATCTACATGCAGGTGCACATAGGCATGCACACACATGGACATACACTATATGCACACATACATGCACACACATTCACAAGGCAAGGCATTACACATTCATGCGCACATAAATGTATATGCACAAAATGCACATGTCCACATGTGCACAGGCACACACACATGCACAGCCAAAGCCACTGGCAGCAAAGAACACTGAGAGGGCGGGTGAGAGTCAGGTGTGCTGTGCCCACAGGACCCGTGACATGTGCACACCCGGGCTCGTGGCCAGAGTTTGTGGGGGACACATTGCCCTGCGGGGGCTGCCATGGAAGGCAGCCTGAGACCCTGCTCTTCTACCTCTCTGTCCCTCTGTCTCTGCTGCCCCTCTGTCCTGCTCCCTGTCTCTCCACTGCTCTGCCCCCCAGCTTGGCCCTGCCTCCCACAGTGTCCGTGTCTGGCTCTGAGCAGCACTGTGGGCCAAGTGCGTCCGAGGCTGCCTGTTCCCCTAAGCCCTGCTTCTGTCATCTTCCTGCCTCTTCCTCCTTGGCACCTCCAGCCCGTGGGGGGTCTTGGAGCCTAGATGACGTTACCATGGAGATGCCCAGGTGGCAAGGGTTGTGGTGACCTCAGGGCAGGGCAGGGCTGCTGGAAGGTGGCCCTGCCTGGCTCTGCAGTGCCTGCTCCTTTCCCGGCCCCTCCCTGTGCTCCGCCCCTTCCTGATGCCTGGCACTGGCTGGTCAGGTGTCTGCGGCCCAGCGAGATGCAGTGAGTCCCTGAGGGTGTGACTCAGACATCCTGTCGCTGTCCCTGCCCACCTGCACCCCGGCTCTGCTGAGCTTTGGATATGATGCTGTCTCCCACTGCTGGGGCTGGTCACTGTCGGGGTGCACATCTGGCCCATGTATTTCCTCTCCACCAAGACCAGGGGGACACCAGGAGCAGGGCCAAGCTGCCAAGGGCCGTGCGCCTCAGGTGGAGTACAGATGCAGGGCCAAGGATCAGTGGTAGGCAGTGTGAACCCCTGGCCGGGCAGGAAGGGACCTCTGGTGATGGCTTGAAGTAGCCAGAGGCCCTAGCACACAGGTGGACCCACATCAGGTGTAGCCTCTTGACCTTAAGATCACTTTCCACATAGCTGCATGTGGCTGGCACCCAGGTGTCCCATGTCCATCCCAGGCTGTGGGGGAGGACTTAATGTGGGCCTGGGCCTGGTGTCTGTGTCCTTTTCCTTCCAGGGATGATGTCATGGAGTGGCTGCCCCCACCCCTAGAGCAGCATTTTTGGGGCTGTGAGCCTTGCTGGTCCCTGGCCAGACCCTCTGGGGCTCAGTTCCCTTGGTAGATGACTTTGGGCTCCACTCCCCAGGCTCCTCTCAGCCCCAGGCCCTGCAGGTGTTTCGTCCACCTATGGGTGCCTCCTCCCTTCCAGGCTCCCCAAGTCAAATCCTCCCGTGTCTGGTCATGATTCCCACTGGGCTCCGCACCCCCTCCTGCCAGGCCACCTGTGCCTCTTGTTTGTCCACTGACCCTCAGTAGGGCTCTGGGGCCTCCTGGGCACCTGGCCCGCCACCCCCGGCCTTTCTCAGCCCTGGATGGGCGCGGAGCAGCCAGTGCACGCCGTGTTCCTCTGCACGCTTGGCAGCTTGCCTGCTGCTGGCCCTTGCCACCAGCCCCAGCCCCGTGACCCTGCTTCTGCCTCCTTTGGGCCACACTGAGTTGTCCCTCAGAGAACGTTTGCTGAAATGCGGGGGGCTCTGGTCCTCCAGCCTCTGATGGGCCTCTCCCCTTCCTGGCTTTGACACTGCCGCAGAGCTGCACACAGGTGGCCGTGTGGTGCGGAGGCCCAGGTGGGGGTTACACTCTTGGGAGTTAGGGCTGCCTGTGCTCAGCCCACAGGCTGCACTGGCCATGGTCACCCTGGGGGCTTGCTGGTGCTTTGGGGCTGAGTCAGGATAGGCTGTGCCCTGGGCAGAAGGGGAGATGGCTGTAGGGCTCACGCTGCACCCCGATGTCTCTGGAAACCAGGCTTGGAGGACAGGTGAGCACCCCATGGGCAGCTGCACCCAGAGCCCTGTGCCCACCCAGCGCCATCCTCCTGGCACACAGGGATGAGAATCCTGCCCTGCGCCACTGCTGGCACCCACACGGCTGGCAGGCCGCCTGCCTACCTGGTGAGGCAGTGAGGCGCGCAGCCCTGGCACCGTCCCCTTGGTGTGGCCCCCACTCACCAGCCACCAGCAGGGCTGCCCCACAGGGCAGCAGCAGCAGCAGCAGCCTGGGTTCAAGCATGGTTCTGGCTCTGGGAGAGAGGTCGCTGCTGCTCGGTCCCGCTGCTGGGCGCCTGGCAGGCTTGCTGCTGCCACCTGTGCGACTCAGGCAACCAGCGCTGCCCGCCTTATATAGGGGTGGTGGCCCTGCCCTAGTCATGCCCGCCTGCACCCCACGCGCGGCCCAGTGGGGGCCAAACAGGATCTGGGTGCTGCCTTATCAGCACTCTGCCTTTGGAAAAATCTGCAGAGGCCAAAAGTGGCCCAGTTATCACCACTCCCAGTGGGGGGCTGACACACCCCAGGGCCCCCAACACCTTGTGGGGCCGGCCTGGGGACAGAGACTGCCAAGGTCCTCCCTACTGCCTGCATAGGGGCACTGTCAGCCACACACTTGGGTGGCTGGTGCAGGGCCATCAGGAGAGTCAGGAGGGCTCCCCACCCTGGGAAGCCCCACCCCATCCCAGAACCCCAAAAGCACCTATGCACTGGGGCCTCCCTTGTCCTGAGTCTTCTGCCCAAGGAGAGGACCCTTGGGTGGACTCAAGCGTGAAGGACAGTGGGCCGAGTTGGATGGGCCCCTCTCTGGGGGCCTGAGATGTCCCTGGGACATCTGTCTGTTTCTTCCTGGAGACTCCCCTTCCCTGGCCTCCTGAAAGGGGGCAGGAGCTGCCCCCAATGGGCAGGGCCCCATACTATCGGCAGGCCCTGCTCCCCTGGGTGCAGGAGCGGGGCTCAATCCTCAGCACTGCCCATTTTAGGAGCCTCTCTGTGGGGGCGTTGGGGACATGGTGCCTGGGGTACACTTCGTCACAAACCCACTGGGAGAACAGGAGGCTCCTGGGCAACATGTAAGGGCAGGGCATGTGCCAGTGCCTTGAGGGGTTGGAGCTACGGCTGGGGCAAAGGTTGGGGTGATGTGGAGGCCAAGGCCCCCCTGCCACCCTCTTGCTGGTGGGGGACAGGGTCTGACAAGTCGCAGAGATTGTCCACCCCCATGGAGATCCTGGGGGCTTGGGTGCAGGACTCTCCTCTCCCAGGGGTGGCTTTGGCATACCCCATGGAGAGCCAGTGTTGAGGGTGCCCCCATCTGGCCTGAGCACGGAGCTGCCTACCTCAGTTCTCCAAGTGGGCCGCTGCTCACCTCACAGACAGCAGTGTTCCTGGCCCCTTCCCACCCCTTTGCCACCAGGATCACCCTTCCCTGGACAGAATCCCACGACTATGTTGCCTCAGATCAATTGGGCTTTAATAAGACGCTGTTTGGGGCTGGAGTGTAGCTCGGTGGTATGGTGTGTGCTCAGCATATGTGAAGTGCTGAGTCTGAGTCCCAATACCAAAAGAAAAAAAACCCAGAAACAACCCCATGTGGCTTTTGTAGAAATTCAGTTGGTGTCTGGGAGATGAGGATGGTCACTCTGCGCGTTCTGTGGCCTCTCAGTGTCTTGTCCTTGGTCATTTCTTCTTCACACACTCAGCACCAACACTTCAGGGGGAAACTGAGGCACAGGATGTGGCGAGGGGCATAGCTGAGCCTGCCCTCACCCAGTCTGGACTTGGGGCAGGTGAGGAGTGGGATCTGGTGGGTCACTGCCCATGGCAGCCAGTGCAGGAGGGCCCTACAGTCACTGATGGCATGGCCGGGACCCCTGTGTCCTGTACCTGGCTGAGTGTGCACCTCTGCCAGCTAGGGTATGCATGCCTGTGTGTGTGTAAGCGTGCACGCAGATGTCTGTGCGGGCATCTGTGTATACGTGGATAAGGCTGTGTCAGCAAATGTTCAAGTGCCTGGGCATATGTGTGTGAGTATGTGAGGATGCACACAGATGGCTGTGCATTGTGTGCATGTATGTAGATGTGAACTTGTGTATAAGTGCACACCTAAGTGTCAGCAATGTGCTGTGCATGTATGCAGGCTTGTGCATGCGCAAGTGAGCACATGCATGTACGGCTGTGTGTGCACACATGCATATGTAGGCTTATGTATGTGGAACTTGCCTATATTAGCATGTGTGTGCAATACATGTGTGTGAGTGTGTGCACAGATGGCAGTGCATGTTCACATGTATGCACACGTGCCTCGCACAAGTGCACATTTCTGTCACCAATGTGTCTTGCATATGTGCCCGTATGTACATGTGTGGCTGTGTGAACATGTACACATGCATGCCTCTGTATACATGCTTGCCTGTGTGTCAGCAAGTACTCGTGCTTGTGCACATGTGTGTTGAATGCATGTGTGCAAGCATGTAGCACATAGCTCTATGTATGCATGAGTACATATATGCTTGTTTATGTCAGAAAGTGCACACGTGCCTGTGCACAAGTATGAGTGTGCGAGTGTGTGCAGATAGCCATGCAGTGTGGGTATGTGTGCATGCATGCACATGTGTATGCGTGGATGCCGCATATGTGAGTGTACATATGCCTGTGCACATGTGTGTTGAGTGCATGTGTTTGTAAGTGTGTAGCCTATGGCAGTGTGTGCATGTATGCATGTGTGCAGCTGTGTACATGTGTTGCCTGTGTGTCAGCAAGTGTGTGCCTGTGCACAGACACCTTTGTGTGTGCTTGTGTGTGTAAGTGTACATGTGCCGTGGATGTGCCTGTGCACGCACATGTGTGGGTGTGCATGTGGATGACTGCATGTGTGCACATGAGTGCATTTCAGTAAGCATGCGTGTGCCTCTGTGTGTGTGTGTGTGAGCCCTACGTTCCAGGGTCTCCTCCCTCCTTGTGCACAGGGCTGCGGGCGCCCGGAGCGTGCATGGCCCTGGTGAGCTGGCAGCCTGGGTCCAGGCTCCATCTTGGTTGGGCCCAGCAGCTTTGGGTGTCACTCCCTCCCCTCTTGCCCGTTTGTGGGAATCATGCTGAATGGCGTGTTTGTCCCCGGCCCGGCGTGCGTGCACGCGCTGGCACGCACTCCGAGCAGGTGAGATAAGAGTGTGTGCAGTTGTTGTTCCTGGAGCACTCAGCGATAAGACTCAGGTCCCCCTGGCTTCGGGAAGCGGAACCAGGGCCCAGACAAGGGGCGATTGTCCGCGTCCTGTCTGGCTGGGACCTCTGCCCTCCATGCCTCTGTGCGGCAGGCCCTGACCAGCAGCCACCAGGGCCGAGGCCTGGCCGGAGAGCAGAGGTTTGGATGGACCCCAGAGCCCAGAGTCTGGGCAGGGACTGGGTCCCCACTCCTGGGTCCACAGTGAGTGCTGCCCATTGGCTGTGGCTCCTGGATGCCAGGACAAGGACGGTAGCCTCTGCCTCTGGGAGGTGCTTCCAGAAGGCTCAGGAGCAGACTTGGGCCTGACTCCCCTGACAGCCAAGCCTGCGTGTGCTGCGTCTTGTTAGCAGAGGGGCCAGAGTGGACCCCCGGACCAGCTCCCTGCCCCTGTCCACCAGGCCGTGTGACTGCCCGGGGGTGAAAACCTGTCCCCAGGGAGCAGCTGCTCCCCATCTGGGGTAAGGACTGAGTGCGTGGGGCAGATTCCAGGGCCAGGAGCTGGCCCGGCTGCACCGAGAGCCTGCTCTGCCCCAGCACAGACTCCTGGGTGTAGGCCCAGGGGCACTTGCCTGGTGTCTCTGGAGGGCCAAAGCCTGACCACTGCCCTTTCTGGGTCTGGGAAGAGCAGGGCTGGCCCTTGGCAGCCCAGCTTGGGAGAGAGTGGAGTTCAGTGATGCTAGGCTTAGAGTGGCTGAGGTGGTGGCCAGCCTGCTTCTCTGTGGGGCCTGTGCTGCCGCCTGTCCCTGCAGGGCTCCCCCGGCATCCCTGTGCCCCTCCCATGGGCCGGTCTGTCCCTGGTGGGTTTGCCGTGGCGTATGCAGCGAGCCCGCACCCCTGTCCGCCTTCTTCCAGGGGCCTGCCGCCACACGCCCTTGACCCCCCGTTCTGGGCCCTGTGTCCCCATCTGTTCCTGGCCCCATCACCTCCAGCTCTGGTCCCCACCCAGGCCTGCCCTGCCTCTGGTCCTAGCAGACCCCAGCCAAGCAGGAGGTGACCACAGAGCCGGCAGTCCAGTGCCATGGCTGGGCCTGGAGCCTGGAGGACAGTGTGAGCCTCAGTGGCCCCCTGTGTGCACCATCATCCTCAGCCCCTCGGCCCTGGCTAGGCTGCGGTGACCAGCCCACCCCCATAGGTAGGGAGCAGCTGAGTGGGAAAGGGCCGGGACGCGGGTCCCATGCAAGCCGGGCTCACTGCACCCTCTGAGGGCTGGGCCTCGTCCCTTCTGTCCTCAGCCCTGTGCTGTGATCACCAGAGGACCAGAGAGGGCCACAGGACAGATGATCCCACCTGGGGGATTCCCGGCCTGTAGGGGCAGGGTAGGGTGGGCTGGCCAGGGCCAAGTGGGCTGGGGCAGGACACTTGCTGGCTCCAGCTGCAGGGCCTGGAGCTTGAGATGGCCAGGGAGAGGGGCAGTACCATCCTACAACCACGGCGAGGCCCATGTGCCCAGCTCTGGGCCACTCCCCTCCTTCACCCTATGGGAGAACTGACGCCTGGCCCTCGCTGTGCTGCTCCCTGGCCAGGATCAGCCCTCTGGGGAGGGGTTCTGAGGGCCAGGCTCCGTGTGAGGAAGTCACAGTTCTGCTTACAGGCCCTTGGCTGGGGCCAGCAGGGAGTGCTGATCTGGAGGATGCTGAGAGAAAAGCAAACATAAGGCTGGTGAACTGGGCCCTGCGGGAACACGGACCCATTGAGCTTTTCTGCCCTGCCTCCTGCTCAGCAAGGGTTGCTGGCCACAGGGGGTAGGAAAGGACTTTGGGGAGGGTGTGGATAGAGTCTGGGGGACCTTGGAGGCCATCGCTCCCTGGAGTCCTCCTCCCCATGACAGGCAGATGGAGTTGGGGACCCAGAGGGTCCTGAAGCACCACCCATGGCCTATGAATGCAGATGCCAGGCTGCAGGAGGGACGAGGCCATCCGCAGGTGCCCGAGGGTGTCCTAGGGCTGGGGCCACGAGAAGAAATGGGTAAACTAAGGATGAGAGATAGGGCAGGGAAGGAGTGCTGAGCCAGCTTTGGGGGAAGGGTGGTGTGTGTGCTGCAGGACTAGGCAGGGCCTCAGTGGAGTCAGGGCCGAGTGGGAGATGTGGAGAAAGTGTGGATCCTTCCTGCGTGGGCTCTGAGGGAACAGGTGGATTCTAGGGTCTGGCAGAGACAGGGCCCT